GGGACTTGGTCAACTAGGGCATGCGGTGGATGTCCTAATGTGCTTACCGACCTTGGTTGTTCATCTGCTACTTTGAACCTAAGCGCGTACTAGCGAATATGTTTTTATTCCTCGTTTTCATCCGCTTGCGGCGTACCCCTACGCGTATATATTCAACTCTGGCCATCCGTTTTATTGGTCTGCTATCTTTTATCCTAGAAGAATGCACGAATGCAACAGCATATCATCGGCAGACACAAACACAAGTGCGGTCATGGTCACGATGGGGCTGCTTAATGTTTCTTATACATTGGCCATCGCCCTCGCCGGACGCAAAGTGCCCACGTGACAAAACATTCAACGTAGAAGTCCGGCAGACCGACTGCTTAAGAAGACTCCACACAGGAAGTTTCATAAGCGATCCTGAATTCAAAGACATCCGACCAGAAGGCCCCCATTTGTATGGCCTACTAAAGATTCATATGGATGGCCTGTCAGTTTGTCCGAGGTTGGACATGCACAACTCACCGTATCATGCGATAGCGAAGTGGTTAACAAAGAAACTCAAACCCTTAGAGCATCAGTTAGCACCACGTAGCTATCGAGCTAAGTTTGAATTTATGGACGAAGTCAAAGACGTGAACTTGAACGGTCTGATGATGCTCTCCCTAGACATTTCATGACTGTTGACAAACGTCCCGGTCACCGAGACAGTCGATTATATTTGCGAATTCCTGTTGACAAATCAGCTAGAAAAAGGGAATACTAACGAATGCACTAAAGGAAATAGTACTAAAATGCACATTTCATGTACAGTTCCTTTTTGAAAACCAATTATACAGACAAATAGATGGCGATTCTATAGGCTCGTCTCTTGACTATCTTCTAGTCGATTGGGCAAGCTGGAGAAATTTCAACTAAGCGATCAGCTCAATAAACTAAGACACTAAGGTCGCTATTTTGATGATGTCTTTGCTACCGCCGCGACAAAAACGATGTAGGCATGTGCTGGCCACTAGCGACCACTGTGGGAACCCCTGATCCCTGACTCCTCACGCCAAGGCTGCGGTCGCGATGACTGCCCGTACCCTGTCCACCGCTCGCTCAACGTCTGGCGTGACCCACTAACACGCGAAGTCGCGGTCTGACCAATTACCA